AGCTGATTGATGTTTCTCCCTCATCGATGTCTCTAACTCTCTATCCCTCTCCCTTCCTCTCTGTAAAAAATCAATAAAATACATTTTTAAAAAAATTCTCATCTATATAAATAAAAATCACCCACACACTTTATTAATACCTTTGTTCACTTTTTCCCTGGGACTTGTGCTACATGTTCCTACTGTGCCCCCCTTTTAGTCTTTTTTAAAGAAAACTTTCTATAAGCTTCTTAAAAGCAAAATGGTTAGGTAATATTAGGAATTAAATATAAGTGTAAGATAATTCTTGCTAATTCCTACTAGACACAAATCTCTTGCTTGGTCTTGTACTAGAACTAGTGCCTCTAAGTGTCCTTTTTACATGTAGTTACAAGGAGTGGCTTTTTCCCTAGATACAGTCAGTTTAACTTTAGAAAAGAAGGTGGTACTTTCATGGAAATAAGAATCATATATTTTATTTGTAATAATGTTGAGAGGGTTCTTTTAAAACACATATTTTTAGGGATATACCGCTATTGCTCTGACTATAGGTAGGTACATGGTGAGAGCAGGAACACACCAGGTTGAAATCTCAGCCTGTTTTCCTTAGTCTAGTTCAAGGGCCAGAAGCGTGTGTGTTTTCAGGTATCATTTCTTGAATTCATACTTCATAAGACTTTTCATATACTCCCCCAAAATATGTGGTACAATGTACCAAAATAATTAATAATGTCTCTAAATCTAACTACAAATTTGTAGGAAATACAAGGGCTAGGAGAACATATTAAATTATGTCACTGTTCAGAATGTGGGAAATTCTACAGGAATTTGACTGAGTTTCTTCAACAAGTGAATAGTGGGTAATGGAGGAGAGGTTGCTAAATTTGTTTTAGATGAAAAGAGACTTAAGATATGTATCAGTTACACATCAATAAAAAAAGAGGGAGACTTAAGAGAGATATAAAATAAATGCAATGTGTGGACCTTGTTTGGATTCTAATCTGAACAAACAATTATAAACATACTTTTGAGACTACCAGGGAAATCTGAATGTTGACTGGATATTAGATGGTGTCTCAAAACTGTATCAATAGCTCTAACTGGTTTGGCTCAGGATAGAGCGTCGGCCTGCAGACTAAAGGGTCCCAGGTTCTATTCTGGTCAAGGGCATGTACCTTGGTTGCGGGCACATCCCCAGTAGGAGGTGTGCAGGAGGCAGCTGATTGATGATTCTAACTCTCTATCCCTCTCCCTTCCTCTCTGCAAAAAATCAATAAAATATATTTTTTAAATAAAAAATAAATTTAAAAAACTGTATCAATAGGTGTAATAAAAGTTTTGGGGTTTTATTTTTAAGAAATAGTTATTATTAGTGATTTATATATCTGAGGTTTATTTAAAATACTCTTATCAAAAAAGAAACAAAGAAACTTGGAGTTAATAAGATCAAGAATGGCATAATATTGATAATTGTTGAAGCTGTTTGATGAATACCTAAGGTTTGTTACATTATTCTCTCTAGGTTGGAAATTTTCCATAATATGAAGTTATTAAAATACACACATACACAATGAAAGGGAAAAAATTGTTTACCGCTGTAACAGTAAACAAAACTATACAGGGTGTTCCCAAAAAATTCATACACACTTTTTTCTGATAACTCAACTGATGTTTCTTTCTATTCAGATTTAACTCTTGGAATTAATAATCATTCAAAGTATGTATACATTTTTAGGACACCCGATATTTATTTTAAGAACTAGGGGCCTAGTGCACAAATTCATGCACCATGAATGGAACTGTGGGCTGCAAGGCTGCGGTGGGCACAGGGGTGGGTCTGGACCCATCCTCCAGGCCCCTGCCTGGCCCCTCCCACCACACCCCCAGTTCCCTGTCTTCTGGCAGCCCTGTTCCCGCCACCGCTGCTCCCACACTCTGACAGCACTGGTCCCGCTCGCACCTGCTGATGGTGCAGAGTGGTTGGGGCCAGTGCCCACAGCAGGTGCAAGTGGCGGCTCCAGCTCTGGCTCTGGCGCCAGCTCCACCTGCGAGGAGGGCCAGAGCCAGCAGTGGGTGCGAGCAGCAGCTCCGGCACTGGCAGCAGATGCGAGCAGGGCCATTGCCAGCAGTGGGTGTGAGAGGTGGCCCCCGGCCCCAATAACCCCTCAGGAGCAGGGGGAAGTGGAGAAGCCCTGAGGGGTGATTGGGGCCGGCAGCCACTGCTCACACCTGCTGACAGCACCTGCAGCAGATGCGAGCTGCGGGGCCAGCATTGGCAGCAGGTGCAAGCACCGGCGGGACCACGGCGTGCGGGAGCAAAGAATTTTCAGTAACCACAGAGGCTCGCCCCCATGACAGTGACCAGCGCCCCCGCTCACCTGCTCCACCATCCCGCCACGGCCAATGCCTGCAATGTTCCACACTCTGCTGCCTGCTGCCGCTGCCCACCATGTTCCACGCGCTCCCCCTGGTGGTCAGCGCACATCATAGTGACTGGTTGTTCAGTTGTTCTGCTGTTCAGTCTATTTGCTTATTAGGGTTTTATAGAGAGAGAGAGCTATTTAGTTTCAGCAAAGAGTACCATCCTGTAAATTAAATTAATGTTTTAAATTGGGGTGAAGAAGGAAAAAGCATTTCTAATACAGCCTTACCTAACACACAACTCGATCTCCTCTCTTCTCCCATGGAATACTTTAAAATTGTAGGAAGTAATTCTGTATTTGAAAGGAATGATGAACTGTAAATGGAAGATACACTTGTCCTAGTGCTAGCAGTGAAACACAGAGTGCCTTTGCCTTTAGCAGTAGTGTTGTGCCTGTGCCATTTGTGGGAATAACCTGGGACTGCTGTCCTCAAATTGTGAAGTCAGTGGTATGGCCTAATGGCCAGAACTTCCCATATTATTCTCTGATAAAATACTCATTTTACTCCAGAAGATTCTTAACCTTCCATTGCTTTTGCTTCATTCTATAAAAAATGAACTCTTGCAATGAATAGATTAAACCCTTTACAAACATAATTTTGTATAACATAATTCACCTTCTGGGAATTTTTTTCTCCTGAGACACTGACTTCATGCTATTCTTTTAGTGGAAATATTCTGGGTCTAATCAGAACTGAATACCATAGTTGCATCAGTACTTTAATGCTTACTCATACCACAACAAAAAAAAGTTTGCAAAATTAATTAATGTTGAAAACAGTTTCTCCAGTGGACCTGGTTTTGTAAGTTGAAACATTGGTTTTCATGCTGTGGAGGCTTAACTATCCTGGCTTACAAAATCTAGAGAGGAGCTCTCACAAATCTACATTTTAAAACAAGTGCCCTTTTTCTGGATTACCTAGAATTATTCTGAAGTAGTGATTTTTGGCTCTGGTTGGTGTGGGTCATTTGACTGGGCGTCTTCCTGTGCACTGAAAGGTTGTCGATTTAATTCTTAGTCAGGATACATGCCCGGGTTGCAGGCTCCATCCCCCGTAAGGGGCATGCAGGAGGCAGCCTATTGATAAGGTTTCTCTCTTATCAATGTTTCTCGGATGAGGGGGAGGGTTGTGCAGGAGGCAGCCAATCAATGTTTTGCTCTCACATTGGATGTTTCTCTTTCTCCCTCTTCCTTCACCTCTCTAAAAATCAATTAGAAATCTTTTTTTAAAGTAGTGATTTTGCATTTGAACATATTTGTAAAATCTCTTTTTCAATATATCTAATAGTGTATTATATCAACTAAATTTTGAGTTCTCAAAGAGTTACTTGTATCAATTTAACTCTCCCTAACCACTGTCATGTTACAGTCACAGTAACATGAACATATAAAGACATCTTACTAAATATATCTTAATTAAATCTGAATTATATCTTTCAAACTGATCATATAAGAGCTTTAAGTACAAAAATATGTACTAGAGGCCCAGTGCACAACATTCATGCACTGGGGAGGGGCGGCGGGGGTCCCTCAGCCCGGCCTGCACCCTCTCACAGTCTGGGACCCCTTGGGGAATGTCTGCCTGCCAGCTTAGGCCCGCTCCCCACATTAGTCGAACACCCCCTGAGGGGTCCTTAGCGCTGCTGCGGAGGCGGGAGAGGCTCCCGCCACCGCTGCCGCACTCACCAGCCATGAGCCTGGCTTCTGGCTGAGTGGCACTCCCCCTGTGGGAGAGCACTGACCACCAGGGAGCAGCTCCTGTGTTGAGCATCTGCCCCCTGGTGATCAGTGCACATTATAGCGACAAGTCGTTCTGCCGTTCGGTCGATTTGCGTATTAGGGTTTTATTATATAGGATTGTATGTTACTTATTTTTAGTATATATTATGTGACCAAAAAATAGCTCACTTTTCAGTTTGGGATTTTGCAAATGTGGAAATAGCAGCTTGTAAAAAATATAATGCTTACAAACCTGTAGCCAGCCTGAAATTGCTTTTCACCAACATGACACTACTAACTAGAAATTTCAAACTCTGGAGATGTGTATACACACATGCACAAAATTAACTGAAGTACTTATAGAAACCATATCGATAGCACGTGCATGTGTGTTTTGTTGATAATTAGCAACCACATGACAATGCACTCAGTATTGATAGCTGATAAATAAGGGTGAGGAATTAGGAATTGGAAACTAGAATAATAAATTGCTTGGGTACCTTTAAGTGTCTTTTTTAAATTGAATTCTTACTAAAATAATAACTATTATAAGTTCGATAGCCGTTTTTTATCATTTTGCTTTTATTTCACACTAGAAACTGCCAAGCAGATAACATCTAAATGTATCTTTTTCAATATGACAAAGTTACACAAGAAGAGAATCCCCTAGCACGTAAAGAAAAACGCAATTATTTTCTATTCTGAATCTCCAGACTGCTGTTTTAGAAAATCATATCTGATTATTTGCTCAGCAGAAGATTATTGAGTTGATTTAGCTGTGATTTTACTTAACAAAGCTTCAACTGCATTCCTACTGTGGAGTCCGAAAAAGGTAGAGAGATATAAATGATACATTCAAACTGTGATTTTTGTGAACAGGCCCATCGATGCACCCCTCGGAGCTAATAGCGGAGATGAGAAACAGTGGGTTTGCACTGAAACGAAATGTACTGGGGAGAAACTTGACCGCAAATGATCCATCACAGGTAATGATCTTTTTATCAGTAAGCTGAAAATGCCTAAAAATCTAAATGTGATTGCTTGTGAATTGCTACTTAATGTTTTCCAATATGCATATATCCATAGGAAAGCAAGATAGAGCAAAGAAAATGCCTAAATGTATTTTGATTTTGCTTTATTATTTTAACTTAAATGAGAAATTGTTTTTAAACCTATATTTTAATAAATGAAACTGCTCCTCTGGGTTTATGTGGATGAAATATCTTAACTGGTGATGAGATGGTTGTTTTTTCCTTCTTTT